AAGTGCTCTCTGCTCACCTATTCACCGTTCTAGTCTATTAGGAATGTCTGGAAACCCTTGCCTCTCACAAGGCCTGCAAGAACCAGAACCAGAATTGTGTTCTCGTTATATGCATGGACTTGGGTTTAGATCATTTAGGTTCAGATCTGTTTTTCTTCCTGGTCCTGTGTCTTAGGCTCTGTCCCTTGGTTCCCTTATTTAAGATATGGGAATCCTTATTACATTTCACTAACAATTTATATTGGTGATGATGATAATAATACTATATAATTCATAGGATTATTGATTGAGTCTATTATTACTACTCTACATGTTACTTAGAATAGTAACTGTTGTTAGTTCACTTGACCACAGGGTCTCTCCTGTGTTGTAAACACACATGTCATGTGTTTTCAGTCTGTGCCTTTTATGTGGTTCTTCAATTTATGTTGCTTCATGAAATTTCTTCTACTGCAACCTTCTCATGGTTGTATATCTTACATCTTGCTTTTGGGTATATATACTTCTTTGCATTTTCTATACTACCTATCAAAACACTGCACTTAGGTTTAATAAATACTTCCAAAATTATGACCCAAACATGATTTAAGGCCAAAGAACCTAATTCTAGAAGAAATCATTGCTTTAGAAATAGGCACATTAATTTTTATCAAGGTTTAACATATTCCAAGTATTAAAAAATTCTCTCAAGAGATATCACTTTGGGATCAGTTGTGCTGAGAAACAATATGTTCTCTGGGGATCATGGTTCTGAAGGGATTAATGAAAACCATTTGTTGCCGCCTTGAAAATGAAAAATCAAATAGGAGTTTGAGGGAAGTGTTCCAGAGAGATCAATGAGGAAGTTGCGTTGGGAGTATGACGCATAGGTCACCAGAGGCCTAAGGAGAAGAGCAAGAGAGATGCAAAAATGTGATTGAATGGAATCCTTACATTGAGTAAACTGCAAAAGAAATCTCTACATTTTATTTTCAATCCATCATTAAAGTAGCCATAGGTTTTTCTCAGCTTGAATTTGATGATTGCATTTATTTTTAAGTAGACTGAATTTTCCGAGAACAATTTTGGATTTACAGAAAAATTGAGATTATAGTACAGACAGTACACAGATTCTGCTTCTTAAGGTAAGTGATTGTGTCAGTCTGGCTACCCCAGAGATACAGATCCACACAAACTCATGTATGAGAGAGAGTTGTATATAAAGGGTAAGTGCACATCAAGAAAACACCCTAATCCAGTGCTGCCCAAACCCACACGTTCAACATTAACCCATATGTCCAACACCAATCCACAAAGTCCTCCTCCATCTCACAAAACAGTCACAATGATGCTGACTTAGGAGGAAAGCCAAGTCAGTGAATGTGTAAGCATCTCAGCGCTGGCAGGGGTCTCCACACGGCTGCTCCAGCACCCAGGGCTGCATCTGGGTAGGTCCATGCGGCTTCTCCTTGGGGATGTCTTGTAGGAAGTCAATCTTGCAAGCTGAAGCAGGAACTGGCTAAGGCAGCTGCACCCTGGTGTGACCATCACACAGCAAGAGACCTGAGAACTAGAAAGGCGAGGCTCACGGAGCCATTTATCCCTCCGCCCTTCAATTAATCCCACATGTATTTATCGGCCAAGTTGGCACAATAAACTAACTAACTCAGTGATGATTAATCTGAATATTAAGTAAATACATTAGATAGAGGCATGCTTACTTTAAACAACCAAAGAAGGGAGAGACAAAGAAGGGAGAGAACATTTAATCAAGTCTTGTTGGTATATTAAACATTTTAAATGACAAATAAAGAGAGACTTAAGGGAATAAATCCTCTTCTCTTAATATTTTTGAACTATGAAAAAACTATGTACTTCCTATGGCCATGACCCTTTATTGGGAATACGATGGAAATAAAAAGTACATGTGTCCAACTAGACAATGTTCAATAAACATAATAATTGTTTACATACTTTGAAAATATAAACATACACCTTAAAATTACAGAACATGAAAAGCAATAAAAGCCTGCTTTACCAATTAATAGAAAGAATTCAAATTACTAGGTCCAAATAACTTATGACTACCTCCTGTATTTTAACCCTTTTTCTCTTCTCCAGGCCTGTCCATTTTTCTCATACTTGACTTGGTTTTCATCTTTAATAGTCACCCATAGAAACCAACCAAATGCTCCCAAAATGTCCTTCTCTTTATTTAAATTCAGGTCTTAGTCTCTTTGAGCCTAGGTCTAATTACTATCATTGCCAAATCATTAAAAAGACATTTACCACTTGTACATCTATCTCTAGATGTTCCCTAGTTATATTATATATCAAAATAGACGGGAGCAGAACAATTCCACAGAAACATTAGTAGAAACATTGTTGTGAAATTTTTGGTTTAACAAGAATGTAACTATCCTTTTTTTTTAGATTTTAAAAATTATATTGTAAATTACTAACATGGCAAAGCATTATGTTGTCCAAAAGAATCTGTTTGAGCCAAGTTGAATAAATATAAATTTCAAAACACATTTCTATGTCAGGTTATGGTACAGAAGTCACAACCAAGTCCTTCCCCCGTCTCCAAATGAGGATTTGTATTTGGAATTGTTTTCACACCATTTGGGAAGAAAGGTGTGACATTCAATTATATTTTAAAATACTACCTTTGAAGCACATTTGGATTTTTAAAAAATCATCTTTCTGAACCATTTTAAAAGAAAAAAAAATCTAGTATGTTTTATTTAAAGATTTCCAGAGTTTGAGTGAATTTGGACAAAACACTGTACTTTGGAAGAATAATCTGGCTTGGGTGGTACAAATGGCTTGACTGCTAACTAAGAGGGTCTAGGTTCAATCACACTGAGAGGCACCTTGGATGAAAAGCCTGGCATTCTATGCCTGAAAAAGCAGTCATTGTCATTGAGACCTAAATGCAGGTATGTATATATGTAAATATATTTATATATGATGGGGAAATAGATCTATGTGCATATATTTATAGGTTTAGTAGTAAGGTAGCAGAATGGACATTGGGCCTCCACTCAAGTACTCCCTCAATACAAGAACACTTTGCTCGACTAAACGGAGGTTCCATGATACCCACCTTCCCAATATGATTGCTGAAAGCAAATGTGTGCATGGGAAAATATGGTGAAGAGAGCTGATGGTGCCCAGCTATCAAAAGATGTAGTGCCTGGGGTCTTAAAGGCTTGAAGGTAAACAAGTGGCTATCTAGCTGAGAAGCAACAAAGCCCATGTGGAAGAAGCACACCAGCCTGTGTGATCATGAAGTTTTGAAGGGATCAGGTAGCAGACACCAAAGAACAAAAATCAACATTGTGTGCTCACCTTCCCCATACAAACACTGAAGACAAATGTGTGCATAAGCAAGTGTGGCAAAGAAGGCAAATGGTGCCCGACTATCGAGAGATATAGTGTCTGGGGTCTTAAAGGCTTGAAGATAATCACGCGG